AAGAACTAAAATATTATGATTATTTTATAAGATCAGTCCCATCACAATACATAATATTACACAGATACAAACTAGAATAAAAATATGTAATACCTGGCATTTTAAATGATACTCTTCGCAGTTTAATAGACCCCCTTAACCCCTATTTTCAACCAGATTGTTTTCACAATCAATAGGCCTCATCTCCTTATAGAGCTTGATTTTTAATTAAAATTTCATGTTGATATCGCTTTTCATTTTGGATTTTTTTTTAATTTCAACCCCTTCTTTAATCACCCATATTTATTCAGATTTTTTTTTATAATTAAAAGGCTTCTTCTCCTTTTTAGAGCTTGATGTTTGCTAAAAATTTCAAGTTGATATCATTTTTCGTTTTTTAGTCACGATTTTTTTCAAATATTTTAACCCCCCCTTAACTCCCCAATATATTCATATTTTTTCAGTATCAATAGGCTTTATCTTCTTATAAAGCTTCATTTTTACTAAAAATTTCATGTTGATATCGCTTTTCGTTTTTAAATTATGATTTTTTTTTTAATTTCAACCCATCTTATCCCCCTATTTTTAATCAGATTTGTTAAAAATAAATAGGCTTTGTCCCCTTATAGAGCTTGATATTTGCTTAAAATTTTCAAGTTGATATCATTTTTCGTTTTTGACTTATCATGCAGATAGAAAACGTGACATCGGACAGACAGACAAAGTAAACCTGTAATACTCTTCACAGAATACTGTATGAAGAGTTAAAAAATGAATAAGATAAACAATAATATTCTTAAATAAACTTCTTTTATCAAAAAATACTAAAAGTTTGAAATAGCAGCACATAATTGAACATTTACAGAAATCTGTGAACTAAAATAGTAAGATACACATCGTAAAATGTTATCACACTTAATTCTCCATATGACCCTTTCTAAGTGTATTTCACAGCACATTCCTAAGTATTCTTGCTCTCGCTACTGTCCTACCCTCATTACTGAATTTTGTCTGTCCGTGTTTACAAAAAAAATTATGTGTTTTAATAAATAATAGAATAATAGTAATTTTGTCTAAATAGGTAAATCGGCTTCATCTGAATTTTTAAATTATTGTTTGTAGATATTTACTTATAGGATTGATTACCCAGAGCTTGTATATATGTGGGATGTGACTTGTTAAGTGCGTAATCAAAATCAAAATTTATGTTTGCTACTTATTGCTCTTTTCAGGAGATACTTTATAACCAACTGTAAACTAATTTACCAACAGCGTTATTTTTAATTAATACCTGCAGTGATCCAATTTACCAATACATCTAATATTTTTGAAAATACTAAATCATACAAACAAGGCAATAAAAAAATGTCATTAAAATAAAAGATTTCAGGTCTATTAGGAACACACAATATAGGCTAGAAGGTAACACGATTGATAATTACAGGCAAACATAACTTTATATAAATGAAATGTACATATCATTTCGCTTAGGTAAAGTTTCTCATTATAAGTGTATATTAAATTAACTGGTTGATCCATTTTTCCGATTCAGAATTTTAAAGTGAAAAACCATTTGTCTCTTTATCTTTATCAAAAGTTTATTGTACATTTTCCATTTCCATAATGATGTCAAGTAGTTACCGTATCAGAATAATCAAATTTTTCCTTTTAGCGGGTTTTGTTTAAAAATTTTTTGCTGACTTCTTACTTCTTAGTATTTACAGTTGGGTACAAAATAGACCATAGAAACAAAATATAAAACAAATTAGATTCGTAAAACTTTATTATAGTTAAACAACAACTATAAAAATACTTTTATTCACCTTGCCTTAAAGAAGTTTTTTGGGAACAGTCGTTGAAATGACACACACTTTTAATTTATTAATGTCACAGTTCTTAATTAAACACATTTTTTTAAATAAGCACAAATAAAATAATTTTAGTTTTATTTAGTAGAGGAATGACAGAAGACGGAATGACAGTTTGTTTGATTTGGTACAGTGTTGCCAGAATATATTTTTGTTATGTACCAGATTTTTTTAAAAAATGTACCAGATTTTTCGAATTCTATTTTGTTCTTCTGCAGTTTGAAAGATTTGCTGGCGTGTTGTCTTCTCTTTTTAGCTATATGCATTCGCCATATCGTCTCACTCGTGTTAGGCTCACTCATCATAATGCGCCACAGACACAGTATATTTAGGTATACTGTACGGGACCAGCCAGAGGACAATGGTGTACCAAAAAATATAGATTAAGACGTATGAAAATAAAAATATTAAAATTAAAATTTATATTTTTATGTTATTTATGTAATTTTAAAATGTGTTTTTATGAAATTTAACTGGGTGTTCACTGCACAAATGACTCAATGGAGAAAGCTGGTGAGAACATATTCTATAAGAAGGATGACGAAATCTTCATTCACATTTTCACTGAATATATAGCACTATACTTTTTTTTGTTGATAGGAAACCGCTTGGCACCAACCGCTGGTCGCGCTCAGTCCTCAGTCATCACTTGCATTTCGAGGTGATTAGTCGATATTTTATAGAAATAGTAGTTGCATTCTTTTGATCTAGGCAGTGTTGTCAGATGAGCATTTGCTGAAACAGTATGGGTGAAAAAAAAAAACGTAAATCTGAATAGTAGATTTAAATACAGGGGGAAATAATTATAATTTGCAGTGTACTAAATAAAAAATAAAAAAATTATATAAGAAACGAAAAATAAACATTTTTCTACCCAAATTAGAAAGTAAACAAAGAATAAAAACAAATAGTAACATTTTTAATATATACTTAACGTACGGAAACAAAAAAGAAACCAATGAAAAATAATAGGTATTTCTTTTATATTATAAGTCCGAATTAGATAATTCAAATACGTTGTGTTTGGTATGCATGTTCATTTTATGATGCTCTATTAATTCTTTGTTGCATTTTAAATAAAAACCTAATGATGATCTTGAGTTTTTTTTTATGGAGTCAACCTACACTAGTGGATGCTTATTACGCAAAAAGCAAATTTACTAGAGAAAATATTCTTTAACCATTTGCTGAAGAATGAGGCAAACTTAATAAATTAAGAACAACATTTGCTAAGTTGGCAAAAACAGTAGATTTCATGCCTAAAACAGGAGAACAGAGACAAAAACAGTGGATCTACTTAAAAACAGTAGGTCTGGCAACGCTGATCGTTCCCTCGAATGGTTGTCTGCGGGTGACGCATCACCTGTCTCCTTGCTTCCCAAATATGCAGAGCGTAACAATAACGCATCTGTCGTCCTTGCCGTCGCCTCTGTTTTCTCCTGTCTCCTGTCGCGCCTTCCGAAATGGTACCTTTACAGTTCACGAATTTCCTTGCTTACAATAATCTTTTCGATCAGATTCTACTTGTAATTGCTGACAATAACAAACATTTATTGCCTTAAGTCATATTACAGCTGCAAATCTGGGGTAAAAATGGCTGAAATGAACGGTGCCAGTTTAAATACCCTTACAGTGTAATATCTGGAATTTGACATGATTTGTGTTACTTTAAGTAAACTATTTATCAATGATATATGTTCAATTATCATTAATGTTGTGTTTTTTCCCTTTTCCTTAAGATAGTTGGAGTACCTACTCGTTTAGTGACTCAAGTTGTATTTGCAATTTGGGATCAACAGAAATTGTCACAATTTTACTTGTAACAAGGAAAATTGGCTTTGTAACTGTATAGTTGCAGATGTAGATATTCAAGATATTGAAATTAGAAATTAGAAATATATTGTCTAGTAAATAAATAATACAATTTGGGACATCCTGATTTATTACATTTCCATAGTATTTATTTCAACAAACTATCTGTTTATGCGAAAGATTATTTGTTAGGTAATTTAAAGTACAAAGGTAGGTATAATGTTTTCTTTGAACTCGTTTTCCTGGAAAATGGTCAATTAAACATGAAAAGTGTTTTTATGTAACTAGTTCTAGTAAACTAATCACATTTTGAGTCGAAACTACAATAACCTCCTTTTATATCCCAAAAAAACAAGTTTCTTTTAGATCTAAAGGGTTGCGACATACGATGATACGATGTAGTCTATCTACAATACGTGAAATTTTAAATAATGGATACAATTTAAATATTTTACGTCGAGCACAATGAAACCGCTTATACATTTTCTATAAATTGGCAAGCTTTAAATAAAAATAGCGCCCAAGATGGAAAGCTATATCGTATAGCACAAGTAGAAGTTGGAAAGGCTTTTGCCAGTTCTCCCACTTTATACACATAAATTGACAGGTTTTCGGCGGATCTAACCGAAGTGGACGCGATACATTGGCGTACAAAATTATTTTATAGATGTTAATAACAATTTCGAGTAAATAGTTTAATAAATTGTGAGTAGCTCTTGAAATTTTGTAAAATTATGATTTTAATATTATAATACATGTTTTATAATTATTTGTAGTCCATAAATACATGCGATTGTCCGGTTCTGCCAAAAAATTTAAAATTACTTATTCTATGAAACGTCACTGGCAGGTAAACATTATTCTGAAATTCCCGAAGCCATCCGACTTGGTTTGACGTTTACCCCCTCTCTACCTACCAAAGTCCTTTCCAACTTTTACTTGTGTTATAACCCCCTTAGATTTATAAGGCCTTCCCACTGGCAGCTAATCTTTGACAAGTGGTTGGAATGCCTATTAGTACGTTATTAGCACAGACCTTTAGACCCTAGCTCTGTGATCTTGATACATAATTTCTGATAAATGAAAGTATTAATGATGACGTAATTTGTAGTCCACTGACTATAAAAATGTTGACAAACTAAAAATAGAGGTTATAATTTTCAATTGTTTTCATTTATGTTACAAGTAACAAAAAGTGGATATTGTTGTATTGTAAAGATAATGATATTATTCTATATATATTCAATAGCATCATAATAGCATCATAATATTTTGGTCTGCTTGAATAAACAATTATTATTTTATCTTTTCCATCATTAACACTTATTTTTTTTGTTTCAGTGGCAGTTGTAGTGGCCTTTTTTGTATGCTGGGCTCCATTCCATTTGCAGAGGCTTACTTCTATCTATCAGAAACCAACTGAAGAAACTCAAGAGACGCATCTGAAGATCTATGCAATGATCACCTACATAAGCGGCATCTTGTACTACATGTCTGCTACTGTCAATCCTATTCTGTACAATATTATGTCCGTTAAATTCAGGGACGCTTTCAGGGTAAGAAGAATTGGTATTTATTCATTGAGAGCGGAAAGTGATATTTTTCCGCTTGAGATAAAAAGAAGCCACGCGACATGTCGGCGGAGCGCGGAAATTTATCGTCAGCGGGAAATTGCTTTCCGCTCGAATTAGGCACCGCATATTTGACCAGCTAATCCACTAAACTTAAAACATTACCAGGTTTTTTGTAACGTTTTTTATAGAGACTGTGGAAGAACGGTGTATTATTCTCCTACATTTAAAAAAATCCTTCAACTAAGTGAAGAGTATGAACCTGGACTGGTTTTCTTTTAGGTTCCTTTTTTAATATATCCGAATGCACCTAAGCTTACAAGATTAATCAGCATTTTTAAAATAACTTAAATTACTACAAAATTTTAAATCTAGATTTCATCTATGTTCAATACTAGTTATTAACATATTCTGAACATTTAGATATTGTGACTGATAGCACTAACTCTGCTCAGGCGCGAAAACAAGGGGGGGCAATAGGGTAATTACCCCCCCCCCCGAGCTGCTCGAAGAGATCCAGGAATTTATTAAATTATAATCTAAAAATATTGTATTGGTATCAGAATTGATGGTTGTAGTGTTATGGTTTTAGAAAAGAAAATAGCAGTAAAGGAACTCCAGTCAGTATTTTCTAATGCTACGCGTTGTTCCTGTTATAATCATGCTTTAAATTTATCTTTATCGACATCTTTAAATATACAAGATATACGCAACACAGTTTCATTTATGAAAGAAGTTATTGAGTGTTTTAATGCTTCTTCTAAAAGAAGTAAAGTATTAAAGAATATCCATAAAGGAAACCTGAGTAGTCTTTGCAAAACACGTTGGGTAGAAAGACACGGGAGTATTCTAAAATTTAAATATAATTTAAACTAACTTCATAATGGAATGCTAGAACTCAAGCTTTTATAAATACATTAACTTCTACGCTTTATATTTTCTATATGTTGTTTTTTTAAAATATTAACAATAACATTGCCATTAAGCAGAATCTGCAGAGAATTTAATTCAAAACATTTTAAAATTATTAAATAAACATCGATGCGATGAAAATGTCTACAAAGAAATCTTTGAAGAAATATCAAACTTATGTGAAGTACATAGTAGTGGAGTAGATATACACCTAACAGTTCTACGGCAAGCTAGTAGGCAAACCTTGAGGGCAAACATAAAAAATAATAACCCTGAAGAATATTTTAAAATATCTATTTATATTCCATTATTAGATAATATTATCGAAGACTTAATGATAGATTCAGCAAAGATATTTTAAATGTAAATTCCAAATATTATCCATATTGATTTGAATAGAGCTATAACCTACCCGGCGATAGCCTATTTCGTTAATATGGATGATACTTTTATTAATTTAACGAATATTGGTAAATACTTTATTTTATGTAAAAATATATGACAACTTCAAAAGATAAAATTAGTTACAACCACAAACTTCTATAAAACAATATATAGGGTGCTGACAAGAACACTTCATATAAAGTGAGTTAACTTCCAACACATATCTCAAAGTAGTCCGAAGTAGATTAAAGGGAAGTAAAAAGCTCAAAGTCTGTCGCCCACATAAATTTATAGGTTGCAAGTGCTTTCGACCTAAAAGGTCATCATCAGACAAAAAAACTTCCAACATTCTCCCACCTTAAGGAATTTTCTGAAAATATAAATTACTTAACAATAAATCATATACCGAGTCTTTGAGGTGGTTGTATCTTCCTACTATATCTTGAATATATGACTTTTTCTTTATTTTTGTCTTCTATAAAAATTTGTGAAGTATCTTCAGAATCATGAGATTCCTGTGGGGTATTCTTATTTTTATGTACAATCGCATTTCTATTCTGTATTTCTTCGTGCATCTCTAATAAATACAATCTTTGAATAGGTCTTAAAAGTTGTCCAGACGAAGTTTTTAATTGCACGACTCGAACATTACCATCTTTACCAGGAAAAATGGTTTCCACTCTTCCTAATATCCATTCGGTCCTTTTTACTGCATCGTTTTCTATCAAAACTAAATCTCCAACTTTTAGATTATGTGCAATTAATTTTCCCTTTTTCATCTCCAGATTACCTAAATATTCACTTCTAAAACGTCTTTTCAATTCTTCTGAGAATCGCTGTCTGTATTTATATCTTTTCCTCAAGTCCTTTGCTTCCACAGCATTAATATCTGGAACACCAATCTGTCGGATTTCTTGCAAAAACATAGATGGTGACAAAGTACATAAATCATTAGCATCCTCTGAGAGATACGTTAAGGGTCGTGAATTTATTACGGCTTCGCATTCGCATAAAATTGATGAAATTTCCTCGAATGTAAGACAAGCTTTACCTAAAATTTTGCATAGAATGTTTTAATATTCTAATCAATCTCTCCCACTATCCTCCCCACCAAGGTGCTGTAGGAGGATTAAATTTCCATTTGATTCGTTCGATTGTGCTGAAATTCGAAACTTCTACCCAATCAACACAAGCAAACGCATTTTCGGCACCTATAAAATTAGTCCCATTGCCACTGTATACCGTGGATGGTCTTCCTCTTCTGGCAATAAACCTTCTAAAAGCTTGTAAAAAACTTTCAGTTGACAAAGATACTACTAATTCTAAGTGCACTGCACGATATACAGCGCACGTAAAAATGCAAATCCAGACCATTTCGTTTATTCTTAAGAAAAGAGGCCCAGCCAAATCTATGCCAGTTACTTCAAAAACTGCAGCTTCTCTGACACGATCTTCAGGTAAAGGAACTGATGGAGAAACAAGCCTTGTGGCATCAAACTTTCGGCATATGATGCATTTGGAAACAACATCTTTAAGGGGTCTCCTTCCTCCAAGAATCCAAAATCTTTCTCTTAAGTTTCTTAACAAGCCTTGAACACCTACATGACATGCTCGGACGTGATAATATTGGATTAATCTGGACACAACAGGATGTTTTGCCGGTAACAGAATGGGATAACAAAAATCTTCGAGGTCCTTTCTCTCTGAAATCTTCGTAGTAAGTCTCATTATGTCGTTTTTGTCTTGAAATGGCGATAAAGATGATATTCTATTGTCTTTCAAACCTTCGAAGCATTCTTTTTGAACTAGTTTTAAAACCAGAAATTCGGCTTCATTGATTTAATCTACTGAAATTTCTGCTATTTTTCGATTTTTTATATTTAAACAATTAAAGATAAAGCGCTTTGTCCATGCAACGAGTCTTAAAATTTGCTGGTATTTCGAAAAATAATTATAGTACCATGTAAAATCAATTTCTTTGTTTACAAACATAGAAATAGTACTTTTTTCATCTGAAACCAAATCTTCATTTGTTTCATACTCTCGTACTGGCCAATCAACTCGATTCTTCTTCAACCATATAGGACCCTCCCACTAACGAGATTGAAGTAGTTGCTGTACTGAACAACCTCTTGAAGGAAGATCTGTAATATTAGATTATCCAGGGACATGATACCAACAATCTGGTTTTGTCAACTTACGAATTTCCTCAATCCGATTTTTAACAAAAGTTTTCCAATTGTCTTCTCTCTTATACCAAGAAATAACAGTAGTAGAGTCAGTCCAACAAAAAATTCTTTTCTTTTTAGAATCTTAATGGAGGATGACAATAATCTTGCACCTATAGTTGCAGCGAGTAATTTCAATCTTGGTATCGAAATAGTTTTTATTGGTGATACTCTACTCTTTGCTTGAACTAGCTGAACCCAAATTCCTTTTGTAGATTCAGATCTCAAAAAAACAACAGCAGCATATGCGTCTTTTGCAAAATATATTTGCAAAATAGGTGTAATTCCCACGACTGCACTTGTTCAGCTACTTCGTGTAAAAGCCAGCGAGGAACCTTCAGGTTTTTTAGACTATTTAAATTTTTCAACCAATTAAAAAATGTATCTCTGATATCTTCTGGAACTTCTGCATTCCAATCTAGTTTTAAAATCCATGTTTGCTGCAACAACAATTTTGGCCGAAGAAGAACAGGGCATGCGAATCCAATTGGATCAAAAATGCTATTTGCAACCGACAAAATTATTTTTTTTTGTTATTTTTTCTGTTATTAAATATTCAACTCCACTAAAACACATTTCTAAAGTATCCAAATTCCTATTCCAATTTAGACCAAGAACAGACGACATCTTATTACCGTTATCTTTTTGTAATGTAAATTCCCATAATCTTAGATCAAATTGACCTTCTGACATTATTGCTTGCGCTTCGTTAATGAATTTCTGAAGATCGTCTTCACTGTCTAAACTAGCAACACAATTGTCAACATAAAATCCTTTCAGTAATTTGGATATAGTGGAAATGGAGTAAGTCGATTTTCCAGAATATACATCGTTTAGGGTCTGCTCCAAATGATAATTGATTACAGCTGCTAGAAGAAATGGGCTACTTGTAACTCCAAAAACAACTCTAGCATGTCGATAGGTTACGAGTTTTCCGTTTTTGTCATACCAAAGAAATCGTAAAACATTTCTATCTTGCTCAAATAAACTAATCTGAAGAAAAGCTTTACGGATGTCTGCTATAACTCCAATTTTTCCCATTCTAAAGCGAAGTAAAATAGATGGAATTAACTCTATCATATTAATACCCTTTTCAAGACATTGGTTTAATGAGGGATTATTTCCTTCTTTGGCAGAAGCATCAAATACTGGACGGAGCTTTGTTGTGGCACTAGATAACTTTACTACATGTCTATATGGTAGGCAATGACTTTTAATATCTACCTCAAATTCTAAAACTTGTTCAATTATGTTTTCACCTAGCCATTCTTTAAAAACTTTATTATATTCTTCGTAATATCCATCTTTTTCTAGTTTTTTCATCAAATTATCTAATCTTTTTCTAGAAATTTCATAATTGCTTGGAAGTGGATAATGACTGTTAATCCAGGGCAATCTTACTTTGTATCGTCCATCTTCTTCTCTAGTAACTGTGTTTACAAAGTAATCTTGAATCGCTGT